CATCGTTGAAGTCGTGAGAACCAACCTGGCATTCAATAAGCCGGCCACCCCTTCCCCGCAGGCCAACCTTGGTCGGTCACAAGAAGCAATCATGGCTACCACCAGCTCGCCGACTAGTCTCGGTCGACCACGGGAAGAAGCTACCGACCACCAAGGGCAAACCATATGTAGGTTCTCCTGGCCGACCATCCCAACCGCCCCACTTGGGTAGTCCAACTCACCCGGCCGACCACCTTGGCCCGCCACCATCTGCCTACAACCCAATCGGTCGGCCAATTATGGACTGATCGCAAGGGAAATTTTCTAGCCTAAACCTAACCCAAATTGTAGACCTAACCAACCTAGGTTTAGCCAAGCCAAACTTCACCCAGATCTGACCCATACTAGATCTAACCCCAACCAAACCTAACTACTGTCTGACCCAACCTAGACCTAACCCAAACGTGACCTGACTTAGGTCTAACCCGAACCCAGCCTAAACAAAACCCAAACCTAACCCAAATCAAGCCTAACCCAACCCGGGTCAACCCAGCTTAACCCGGGTCAAACACAAATAAAACCTAAGCCAACCCAGGTCAACCAAGCTTAACCTGCATTAAACCCAGATAAAACCTAACCTAATCCAGTCAAAAACCAAATCAAATCTAAGCTAACATGGGTCAATCCAACTTAACCTGGGTCAAACATAAATTAATCCTAACTCAACCTGAGTCATTCCAGTTTGACCCAAGTCAGCCCAACTTAATCCAAGTCAAATCCAAATCAAACCAAACCCAACTCAGGTCAACCCAGCTTAACTTAGGGAAACCCAAATTCAACCCAAGATAGACCAATTCAGCTCAAGCCCAATCAAGCCCATACCAGCTAAACTACATCATACCTTAGCTCAATCCCCAACTAATCTAAGCTACAAATTTAGCTTGCCTCAGCTCAACCCCAACTTAAGTCTAATCCAAGGCTATGTGTTACTTTACATTTTTATTCATGTATCACTTCATGCTTCGTTCATGTCTTATTTCTTTCATGTTATTTCAGGTTCAAAAAACCAAACCAAGAAAATAAAAAAAAAACACATTTATTAAATGTTGGTTCAAAAAACCTCACCAAACCATCTCAAATCTTGATTTAAAAAAGGTTTTGGAGGTTGTTCCTTACCAATATGTGATAAGATCCACAAAGAGTACAATGCAAATCACCCGACCAACAAATCTTAATGGTTACTCCTATGAGGGCAGCAAAACGATCCACCTAAAACCTGATGAAAGGCGCAGCCTGCTGGAGGTGCAGTTTCGATAAAACCAAAAGAGATGGACTAGGAGTAAGACTTGAATTGCGTATCCAAAAAAATAAAAATGAAACTTAACTGATTATGCTTTCAAAATCCAACACTTTAATAGATTACAAAAAGACTGTTAAAAAAATTACATCTAACTAAAGGCTTATTGAATGATGTTTTCTGAATTTTTTAGTTTTCCATTGTTATTGCAGCTTCTCCTTTAAGGAGAAAAACTCAAGAGTTTCATATATAGCCTGAAAATAGCCCTCGTCATGCCAAGGGAGTAGCTGCCTCTGACATCATCGTCGTTGGAGTCATGAGAAGCATCCCAGCATTCAACAGGACGACCACCCCCTCCCTGTCGGCCAATCATGGCCGACCACAAGGAGAAGTCGGTCAGTAATTAAGGGCCAACCACCACCAGCCGGTCAATGAATCTTTGGTGGCCACAAGAAGAAGCCAGTCCGGCACCAAAGGAATGTCATTTGCAGGTTCTCCCGGCCGACCACCTTGGTCGATCATCCCAGCTGCCACACTTGGGTCAGCCAACTCACCTGGTCAGCCACCTTGGTCGGCCACCACCTGCCTATAAACTAGATGACTGACCAACTATGAACCAAGAACAAGGGATACCATCTAGTCAACCATAATGTCTGGCCATTCCAGTTGGCCGACCACTGAGAAAGAAGACGATCAGCCACCTTGGCCTACCACCCACGTGGGTCAGCTATCAAGGACCAACTAAGAGGGCTACATAATGTCGATGAGTCTAGAGAGGGAAATCTCCAAAAAGATCGATCTAAGCAAGGAAAAGAACGGAATACCTCTATCAACTCTCCAAAAATACAAAGGCATAAATCTAATGTCTAGTTCCCCCTCTTTTTAGTTCTCTACAAATAGAAGACACCTTGCATGTAAGAAAGCGGTCCCTTAGGTTTTCTCTCTCTCTCTTCTTCCATCATGTAGTAAGTTTTCTCCTCTTCTTCCTCACAATATAACCACTCTTGTATTGAATAAAATGGGCCGACAAGCCCAAGGACTGCCCCTTTTGCCCCTTGATGGGGCAAACCCTCTCTCTCTCTCTCTCTCTCTCTCTCTCTCTTTTTCCTTCATCTAGAATCCGACTTTATTCCTTGGCACGATTTAAATGATAGATTTGAATTCAACAGTATGATAGAATATATATATATATATATATATATACGCGCGCGCACACACTCGCGCACTCACACACACAAAGAGGGAAGTACGCAGTAATGAACGGTAATATAAATTATTGATTAGCCTATATTTCAGGAAATGATTTCTCTATTTATAGAGAAATAGGAAATAAAATATGAAGTTACAGATTTATCCTTATTTTGATGGGAGTGTTACAGAATATTTTGAGTATTTTACATTTATAGGTATTTGGCTTGGCTACCTTAGAATTCGGTCGAGGGAAATCAGTTAGTCTTAACTCGGTAAAACCATTTTTTCTAACTGTGTTGAATTAGAATTGTTGGCCGGCCTTTGATGATATTCGGGCTAGCAGGACATGACTCGATCGGCTCGGCTTTGTTTGTCAGTTATTCTAATCTAGTTGTTGACTATTGATCTTTGAATGGAGAACTCTTGTCAGTAGAGTAAGACTAAGTTATCGGGTAGATAGTGAATCACTATAATATATTTGGTTTCTCACTACTTGCGAGGGATACTCCATTGAGTACGTTATGGCTAGTTCTTGGCCCCTTATGAGAAATCTCAAAGGCACGCATGGCATAGATGGAGATGATGCTCTTGCTTTGAGTCGTGTTGTGTCGAGAGGTAAGTAGATGCCTCTGCTTGGCTTGATAAGCTTTGGTCCTTGGTTTAGCTGGCTTGCATCCGGTCGGCTTCTAGCTTCGGTTCAATGGGGGCTGCACTTGATCAAGTAAATCCTTTGATCTTCCGCCTATGCCCACCTTAGCTATACTTCTTTATCTTCTATTATGTTGGTTTCCTCGGGATTCAAACAGACGCGCTTCCAATATACAAATTCCAATTAAACTTTCGTATTTACAAGCAACACTCAAATTTTAACACCCTTAAAAACTTCCATTTACAATGGATTGTAAGATTTGATGGGCAGCTACATGCCTCAGCAATATTAGTAGATCTTTCAAATAATGACTCCATTTCTAAATTCAGGATTATTATTATTCCAAGTTAAAAAAAATTTAACTGTAACATAAATATTTTCTATCTTAGTATTAAAAAAAGATATGTACATAACCAAGTATCTTCCCATCCTATACATATATATATATATATATATATATAGTATGATTAATTAAGATGTAACAAAATGCATTAGTTTCCACAAAGTTTTCAATAGTGTTTCTTGGTCTCCATAGCCTAAACACGTTCCTACAACCCTTATAAGCGTGGCGGCCTCAAATTCTCTCGTGCAAGGAACCGATCTGATGTGGCCACTACCGCCACCAATTTGCCATTTGTGCCTGAGGCTAAGCATGTGCAAAAGTTTCAGAAGGATTTAGATACTACACTTGTGATTTATTTGGAAGTCTATTTTTGTTGCTTGTGTCGTAATGGCTGTCAAACACTATATACAATCGGTAAACATAAGGTTCTTACCGGACACTTTAGGTTGATGGTTATATTTTTTTATGGAGATTTTTTTTTTATCTTCGATTGTTCATCTTTGCTCATTTTATTTGGTTATTGATTGTGATTGCTCCTCTTATCTTTGTGCTTACTATACATTTTGGGTGTGTTGAATCCTTTGAAGACGTAGGGTTCCGTATTGTTCGTGAGTACATGCAACATGATAAAAAGACTTGGTATCGTAGAGAGAGTTCGGAGAGAGGAGAGATTGATGAAAATATTTTGAGCGAACCTTAAAATATATTAACTTCCAATCATTAATAAGTCGAAGGGAAGCGGATCCTTGGAGGTTTCCTAAGTTAACTTGATTTTAGATAGAGATACAAGACAATGTTCACCTAGGAAGGAAAGGAGGAGGATCCCCCAATAAAAGGAAAAAAAAAAGAGGAGGAAATCTATAAAATAATTAAAACAGTCATTTTGCACTATATGATGCATCTTCTCTGAGTCTTGATGAAAGGACTGTGATGTGAATATCAGGTATTGTTAGCTGATGTCAGACATTGCTGGTATGACAACTAGCCCGGTGCTTGGGTGAAAGATAAATATCAAACGTCGGGTGGTGCTTTTAAGAGAGAATTGACGGATGTCCTCAGTAGTCATGATAACTTCCTCTAGTAGCTACGCCAGTGCAGATGAGCTAGGTTAACCTCTCGAGGGAAATGAGAGCAATTGGATTGGCAGACAAGCTTGGTTCAGCTACTCCGTTACTTCTTTAGATAGGCTCAATTAGACTCCATATTAATCTTGTCACAGGATCATTGCCCCATGATATGAAAAATTGTTCCAATGGCATATGCTGTACGCGGCGACCATAATAAGCATCCGCTTTCAGCCAGGGAATATCCGCCTGTTCGGGCACCACGAATATCTCTCTAAAAATTCTTTATTATTATTATTTTTTTTACTACTCTATTTATACAATTTTATACACCTTAATTAATCCTACTAATCCATGTCGTCTTCCTCACTCCATCACCGACGCCATTTTCAACCTTCCCCCAAAATCCATAACTATATGAAACCCCCAACCCTACTTCTCCTCCCACCTCCCCCCATTTCTTCCAATTACCCAAAAATGGCAGTTTTCACACAAGCAAAGCACGTCCCCGCTCCCCTTAACGACCGCCTTCGCGCCCGCCTCTTCGGCGAGTTCCCCTGCTCAGCCAGTAGCGGCAGCGGCCCCCGCGGCGCCTCCACTTCCGGCGACTCCTCCTCCCTCTCCGCCCTCCTAAACGATTTCCTCGAATCCTCCTCCGCCGACGACGACGACGAAGACTCCGATCACAACAATAACTCTGAAGCAGAGATGGACGACTCTTCGATTCCGATCCCAATGACCACCACCCTCGAAGTCGCCGGAAAGCTCCGCGACCTCATTTCCCCGCCCCCCTCCGTCGATCCCTTACGCTCCCGACTGATTTCCGATGTCGAATCAGCAGCTGCAGAAGCAGGGCCAAGTCTCACCGGATCTATTTTCCGGCGGGCGGTGATGAGGCGGTTGAGGGAGAGAGGGCATAACGCGGGGATCTGCAAGGCGAGATGGGATGGCGGCGGTGGATTGACGGCGGGGAGCTACGAGTACATCGATGTGGTGTTGGAGACGGCGGATGGGGAAGAAATAAGGTATATTGTGGATTTAGGGTTTTCGTCTGAGTTTGAGGTGGCGAGACCGACGGAGGAGTACGGGAGACTGGCGGCGGCATTGCCGGCTGTGGTGGTGGCGCGACCGGAGGAGATGAGGGTGGCGGTGAGGGTAATGGCGGAGGCGGCGAGGAGGTCGTTGAAAAGCAGCAGAATGAGCGTGCCGCCGTGGAGGAAGAAGAGGTATATGATGGCGAAGTGGTTAGGGTTTTATCGCCGTACGGTGAATGGTTTGGGTGCGGTGGTGGTGGCGGGGGAAGCAGAGGTGAGGTGGCGGGCGGTGGGATTTGGGCGCGGTGACGAGAATTAGATGTTTATTAACTATGTAATTTTATTTTTCAAAAAAAAAAAATATATATATATATATATATTCATT